GAGAGAGAGAGAGAGAGAGAGAGAGAGAGAGAGAGAGAGAGAGAGAGTGTGTTATAGTTATTTAAGGTAAATTTCCATCTTGACTACAATTTACTCTTCCTTCATCCAATAAAGGAATAAAAACAATAGAAACTTCAGACTTTAGGGCCTATGGTGACTCAGTTTCCAAATAATTGCTAAACAGAACCCTGCCCTCAGGAAAAAACAAACAAACAAACAAAAAACAAAAAAAAACCCCAAAAAACAAAACAACAAAAACCCCAACCAACCAAACCAAACCAAAACAAAACGAAGAGGACACTTTAATCTTTAAGTGTCATGTAACTGAATTTCTGCAAAAATGAGTAGACTTGTGTGCACCTAGACACGGAGTAGCAAGCCAATGACATAGCTTCTCCTTAAAATGTATAATAACTTGTGAAATTCACTTTTTCTTTACTCCTTTCAATACAAGACACAAACATTTCTATGAACTGAATTTATTAAAGTCCCATGGAAGGAAGTATCATAGAACATAGTTTTATTAAAAATTGACATAAGCATAATAGAATACTCAACATCTGGCTGCTTCTAAGGCAATGCCACTTTGGCAGGGCAGAGATATGACTCAAGTACAACAAGCACAGACATTTCCATCAAGGGAGGACTGGAAGCATTACTCTCTAGATTTCCTAAGTCGCCAGAGATCTCACTTCTAGAGGGAAGATGATCTGAATCCACTATTTAGTGTCAATGTTCACAAAGCTCTTCCATCATTTCAACAAGGAATCCCCATCTCACCAAAAACGCAATTCAACAAACCCAAAAGTAAAAGCCAAAAAGTTAGTATGACAATATTTTGTCTAGTGAAGTGAACATCCTGTGCAAGTGACAGGTGGTCACTTAAGTCCACACACATACTCACATCAGCACTTTTATTCCTTGGAAGGTTAACTGCTCGCTTTAGCTTCTTCACTGCTTCTGTGACGGCAGGGGTCTCCACCCCATCTAAAGCACTACAGATTTTTCTTACTGCTTTAATCACTTGATCAACTGCTTGGTGCTGGTTCTTTAAAAATGAAAAATAAAATAAAAATAACTAGGTACAATATACGACCCATGTCAAAGATGAAGCCAGAAGCTGGATATTTTAGACAATTCTAAGATTAGATATTTAATATTGAAAGATAAAAGAACTGAGGTAAGTTCTCAATCATGTGGTATGCTGTGAAATATACTAAGGCATGGTTAGTTTTTACTCTGAAACAATTATTCATATGTAAGTGTTATTAATTTCATATCAGAGTTAAAAGACAACAAATTAGAAACAATTACTAAATCATTTTTTTTAAACTAGAGTCACTCATATATTTAAAATAAATCTAAAAGGTAAGTAAATTTATCTTTTAAACTCTCATTTGGAAGTAATTTCCATGTTGAAAATAAACCTCTCTTGTGTAAAACACTGGTATTAAAAACTAAATTCTAACAAACTAAACCGAACAGATACCCCTTGAGGGGCTTAAGAGATGGCTCAGTGGTTAAGAACTCTTGCTGCAGCAGATGATTTCTATTAGTTAGAGGCTAGCCTAGTCTAGAAAACAAGTTCCAGCTAGACATGGCTGCACAAATGTACCCCCACACCTAAGCTCATATGCACTCACACATAGTCAAATCTTAAAATAAAAAGCAATAAAAGAAAACCCTGAGGTTGTTTTTTAAAGGTCAGTTGTAGCAGTACAGGGTCAGCTTTCTATAAGACTATCACTTTACAAGTCTGTTTGACCTTAGTCTCCATACGGACAGCTCATGTGTCATTCCACTACAGCTGACTGGAGCATAAATCCAAAGTGTATGCATACAAATGCACTAAAAAAATCATTTACTCAATGACAAGAGTTCCTTCCCTACACCTAAAAGAAATTTTATTCGTGCTCTCTTTACCAGCACATATACTAAAATCGGAACGATACAGAGATTAGCATGGCCCCTGTGCAAGGATGACACACAAATTCGTGAAGTGTTGCATATTTTTAAAAAAATTTATTCATTTTTACTTTTGTGTGTAACTGGACTTTTGGCTACCTTGTGGGTTCTTTCTTCTTCCATCCTTCTCCACTCCTCTTCCCTGCCCTTTCAAGCCTGTGTACAGGTAGGAGGGAAAGAAGGATAAGAGGGGAAAGGGGCAACAGTATCATTAGACTACCTCCTGCTGATTAGGGGCATTGAGTTCCTTGGGAAAAGTGTGATCTTTGCTGTCAGGATATCTAATTTCTTCTTTTCATCTCTTCGAACACGACTACTTGACAATCAGCAACAAACTGCAACCAACAGCACCCAACCACAACCACCAACCAGCCAATCAACCCCTTCTATTGGGGCTCTAGCATTTATATATCCTCTGAAAAGTTCCCAGATTTCCAAATGTCACACATTCACACAAACTATCTGCAGCTGGCAAAACCACACCCCTACTAGAGCATGAGGCAAATCATAGTCACCTGCTGTGAAGCAGCCCCATATCTCACACCTGGGATTAAAATGAAAACATATTCCCATAATATTTCTGTAGTTTTTTTTTTAAAAGAAACTAAAATTCTCACTGCATGTGTGTGTTGTGTATCCATATAAGTGAATGCTATATGTGTGTAGGTATCAGTAAAGACCAGAAGAGAGTGTTGGAACCCTTGGAGCTGGCAGGTGGTTGTCAGGTACCTCATGTGGGTACTGGGCACTTGTGGTGGTTTGACTTAAGAATGGCACCCAAGCCGGGCAGTGGTGGTGCACGCCTTTAATCCCAGTACTTGGGAGGCAGAGGCAGGTGGATTTCTGAGTTCGAGGCCAGCCTGGTCTACAGAGTGAGTTCCAGGACAGCCAGGGCTACACAGAGAAACCCTGTCTCAAAAAACCAAAACCAAAAAAAAAAAAAAAAGAAGAAGAAGAAGAAAGAAAAAAAGAATGGCACCCACAGGCTCATGAATTTGAATATCAGTCACCAGAGAATGAACCTGAAAAGAGTAGAAGGGTTAGAAGGTGTGGCCTGTTTAGAGAAAATATGTCACTAGGAGTGGGCTTTGATTTTATTATTACATATATTAGTCAACTAATTTTTTTAGAGACATCTCAGTACGCGCAGCTCAAGTTGCTCTGAAACTCCTTATGTAACCCAGGTTGACCTCAAATGTATGAATTCTCTAGCTTAAGTAGTGCTAGGATTACAGGAGTGTACTACCCTGCTTTGCATGGGTCATTACTCATTATACATGCACTGAAATATCTCATTGCATACCATAAATATGTATAACCATTATGTATCAGCTAGCTATAAATTTTAGGGCTACAAAAATAGCTCAGTTAGTACAGTCAGTCATATTGGCATTGCAAGCATGAGTATCTTCATTCAACCCCTAGAACCCACATAAAAATGCTAGATGCAGTGGTGTATGACTGTAATCTCACTGTTGAGGAGACAGGAGAATCCCTGAGGCTACCTGGCCAGCCACTCTACTCTAGTGGCTTAAATGTTTATAGCTCCCATGGGTTAATATATTTCAATGTTTGGTTCCTGATTGGTGAACTATTAGATTGAGAAGTTTGGCCTTGTTGGAGGTGTGTCACTCGGGATGAGCTTTGAGGTTCCAAAAGCCCACTGAGGCCCAGTCTCTCATTTTTTGTCTGCAACTTACAGATAATGTGAGCTCTCAGCTACTGTTCCAGCACCTGATAGCCTGCCTGCTGCCATGCTCCCCACCATGATGGTCATGAACTCATCCTCTGAAACTGTAAGCAAGTCCTCAAATAAGTACCTTCCTTTGTAAGCTGCCTTGGTCATGGTGTCTCTTCACAGCAATACAACAGTAATTAAGACAGCCATACTAGCCTACTTGGTAAACTCCAGGCCTGGCTCAAAGGGAAGGTGGATGGCATGCCTGAAGAATGATCAACCTGAGGTCATCCTCTAGCCTGTACATACACATGCACCTATACACAGATATACACCCACAAAATATAGTTTTAAAAACTTGAACAACAAAAGCATTCTTCCTTCTTTTAGACAGGAACTTGATATATTGCCTAGGCTGGTCTCAAATTCATAAGCTCAAGAGATCTCTCTTACTTCCTAGTAACTATACACAGCATAAAATATTCATGCTACACTTTTATACAAGTATTATGAAACGCTGCAACTCAGCAATGTATCTTTCCTTTTAGTATTTTTATTCTTGAGGCTTGGAGATAAGTCAAATGCCCCTTTCACCTTCAAGCATAAATGAAACCATCTCATTTTCTTAAATATTCAATGACTATGTAGTTCTCAGGGCCTGAACTGAAGATCGGCATTCAAGTTCTCCCTTTCTAGTTATCTGATTTATGTTTATGCTTATAACTCCACCTTCATGTATAACCTTTCCAATAAGAAGCGTTGTGACATTGTCTTGCATTATTCTCCATTACTCTTAACATGCTGTGGACCAGTCTAACAGCTCTAACCCCACCTGTTTTGCTCTGCTTTATAGCAGAACTGCACTCACACTAACATTTTTTGTCACTAGAGGGCACTAAAAGGACACTTTAACACAAAAACAACAGAAAGACATTTTGCACCTGGGTTCCAGTCTTATTTCTTTTCAATTTACTATGGAAGTTCAGTGGTTCTCAAGGACCAGCCCTACATGTACCCTCAGATCATGTTCTTCCAATCTGGCAGCTCTGGCTAAAGTTCATTAGGAACTTTCTTTTCCATGGGCTCTACCTTACTGTGTTAGCCATTTGTACTTCAAATGGGCTAAATTTCAGTCTGGGAAGAGGTTTTATCAGAAGTCCTTCTATGTCTTAAACTTCATTTTTCTTCAGCCTACACATAGCAGTTACTTTTTACATCTGCAAATTATGGACTCTTCTTAAAGACTAGAAAATTTTCTTTTTAAAAAAAAAAGTATTCAGGTGTGATGGCACATATATGTAGTACCAGCACACATGAGAAACAAAGTCAAAAGTCTGAGGTCAGCCTGGTCTGCACAGTAAGTTTCAAGCCTTCCAGGCTTGAATAGAAAAGATCTGTTCCTATCTTGACCACCCTCAAAGCCACTAATTGTCAGGCATGGTGATACACACTTATATTACAGTTACCTCAAAGTCTGACGTGGCAATATCAAGATTGTGTCAAACGAAACATAAAACAAACAATAAACATTAATTAGGTAAATATTTAATGCTTTCTGAGTCATCCTCTAGTGAGAATCAATTCTAGCCTTTTAAGGGGCTGGAGAGATGGCTCAGTGGTTAAGAGCACTGGCTGCTGAGTTCTGAGTTCAATTCCCAGCAACCACAAGTGGCTCATAATCATCTGTAATGGGATCTGATGCATTCTTTTGGTGTATCTGAAGACAATGACCGTGCACTCACATATATAAAATAAATCTTGGGAAAAAAAGGGTGAAGACAGACAATAAATAAACAAACAAAAATGTAGGTTGCAGGCTGGATTTGGTATGGGAGCTATGGTATGCCAGTTCTTGCCTTAGAATCTTCTTTTATGGGCTGGAAAGACAGTACAACAGTTAAGAGCCCTGGCTGCTCTTATATAGGACTCGGGAGTTTGATTCCTAAAATCCATATGGCAGCTCACAATTATCTGTTTAACTCCAGTCTCAGGGGCTCTAACAACCTCTTCTTGCCTCTGCAGGCACAAGGCATGTACACTGTGAACAGATACAGATTCAGGCAGAAATTCAAACACATAAAATGAACAAATAAATAATTTTAATATAAAAGTTTATCTTAAAAAGAAATTCTTTTACTAAAAAGGATAAAATCACCTTTTTATCCTTTCACTAATGATTATTTAGAATTTTTATTCAAGCAGCTGGCACAGAGGCTGGAGAATATAGATCTGGTTAAGTCCCAAATGTGTCAGGCTGGTTCAGTTGTGTGTGTAGGCATGTCCACACAAATCTGTAATCTCAATACTTGGGAGATGGAAGCATAAAGAACAAGAGTTCAAGGTCAGGCAACGGGAGCTAAATGAGACCCCCATCTCAAAAACAAAAACAATCTAGCCACTGACTG